GCCCGCCGCCGCCGCCGCCGCCGCTCGGGCGAGGGATCCCCCGAGGCGCTTTCAAGCCCAAGTTGCCAAACCAATCTTGAGTGCGGCGAGAGCGGGGGGATAACCCCCCAGACCACCTTCCCTCGCTTAACGACGATTCCTGTTTTGTTTTGTTTTTCCCAATCATTCAGAAACTTGAGTTCGACTCTAGGTTCGATGTCCCCAACTACATCATCACAGATCTTGGCCAGGAAAAGACGGAGAGGAGTGAGTCTTTTTACAGTGCCTTTTTTTTTTTAAAAAAAAAATTTTAAATTAATGGAAAGGACCACCTTTCTTCACTTTGGGATTTACAGCCGTAATGGAAATGTCCTCCTTTGTTTTGCCTGCTTTCTGCAGATCATTGAGAAGCGTCGCCGAGACCGGATCAATAACAGTTTGTCGGAGCTGAGGAGGCTGGTACCCAGCGCTTTTGAGAAGCAGGTAATGGAGAAAGTAGGTAGCGCTCCCAGTGTAGCTGTCCACACCGTTTGAATCCTTCCCCATCGTTCATCTGAACCCCATCGTGTCTTGGAAAATAACCGTGTTGCTTGTGCCGAGGAGATGAATTCATGCACAGATTCCAACACGTTTTGCGAAGACGACTCATTTTGCTTTAGTCTTTTTACTGTTATGAGGTGCAAAGCACACATCTGCCTATAGATCTTAAGTTCTCCAGAGGCAGTCGTTGCCAAATCGACCTTTTGCCATTCCCCTCTCCAGGGATCTGCCAAGCTGGAAAAAGCCGAGATCCTGCAGATGACAGTGGATCACCTGAAAATGCTGCACACTGCAGGAGGGAAAGGTACATGTCACTAGCCTCCCGCCCGGGGGCCCTGAGTGTCGGGGCTGCGTGAGCCTCTACCACAAGCCACCGGTGACGTGGTCACCGCCTCATTTGTGCTGTGTGCTTTGTGGGTGGGGAGAGATGGGTATGGGGTGTGAGCTGTCCCCTGGCAGTGCATTTTCAAGTGCACGTAGGTTTTTCTCCAGTGAATTCATCACCCCAGCCCTCTGCAGACTGAGCTGATGCACCTTCTTTGGGAACTACCTTTTAAGTGCGAGGTGCCCTAAAGCTGTGACAGCCCTGATGAGATCATGTAGCTCTCACCACCTTTGTCTATTGCCATTTTGAGAATAAAGCCTTTTTTTTTTTTAACTAGACAGTCTTAATTTCATATGCAGGGTTTTTTTGTTTTGTTTTGTTTTGTTTTAAGTGAGCTGCCACATGACTTGAGGAAAGAAACCTGTGTGGTTAAGCAGAGAAAAGCTGACAAGCTGGGGGACCAAGGTCTGTGTGTCTGTCTCCAGCCAGAAAATGCTTTTTTCAGGACCAAGTGCCTGAAAGCTCCATGATGATAACTTACATCTGTGTGTCTAATGAATTTCACTGCTCTGTGGTTTCTCTGCCCTTGATGTATTTTCTGTTGTCGTTGAGGGGAGACATTAAAGGGAGGAACATAGTTTCATCTGCTGGTAGGGTATAATTCCAATTTCTGCTCGGCGGCTTCTAATTGGGCTTTGAACTTGCATTAGCGAACGCATACTTCTCATGTTGATTAACGCAACGATTTCGGTCGACTCCAAACTATCTGGACTCTCAGAAGGGCCCAGGAGTGCCGTTTTTTGAGGATGTGGGTGTTTGCCAGGAAGGGCCGCCCTTGGGATTGAAGAAACGCTGGCGACGAGCAGAGCCCAGAGGTTTCTCTTTTGTTCTTTGCCTCAGGCTACTTTGACGCGCACGCCCTGGCCATGGACTATCGGAGTTTGGGGTTCCGGGAATGCCTGGCAGAGGTCGCCCGTTACCTGAGCATCATCGAAGGACTGGATGCCTCCGACCCGCTTCGAGTTCGCCTGGTCTCGCATCTTAACAACTACGCTTCCCAGCGGGAAGCGGCGAGCGGCGCGCACGCGGGCCTCGGACACATCCCCTGGGGCGGCGCCTTCGCTCATCACGCGCACGTCGCGCACCCGCTGCTGCTGCCCCAGAACGGCCACGGCAACACCGGCCCGGCCGCCTCGCCCACGGACCCGCACCACCAGGGCCGGCTGGCCGGCGCACATGCCGAGGCGCCCGCCCTGCGCGCGCCCCCTAGCGGCGGCCTTGGACCGGTGCTCCCCGTGGTCACCTCCGCCTCCAAACTGTCGCCGCCGCTGCTCTCCTCGGTGGCCTCCCTGTCGGCCTTCCCCTTCTCTTTCGGCTCCTTCCACTTACTCTCTCCCAATGCACTGAGCCCTTCGGCTCCCACGCAGGCGGCGAACCTCGGCAAGCCCTATAGACCGTGGGGGACGGAGATTGGCGCTTTTTAAAGGACTGACGCTGTAGCATGGGGGGCGGGGGAAGCTTCAAATCCCAGCTGAGCTGGGCTGTCGCCAACATCACCTGAAAGTCGTCAGTAACGTAAAAAGGAAAAAGGTACAATTTCAGATCAATTTTGTTGAGAGACTGAAGGTTTGTTGGTTTACTTTTTCTTTTTTAATGTTTTTTATGTCATCGATTAGCAGTTTTTAAAAACTAGTTGTTAAATTTTGTTACACAAATTGAAATACTGAGTATAAACAAACACTTGGTGATAGGTTTGTACTGTGCCTAATTTACTTTGTAAACCTGTCTAAAAATGATTCCATTTTCTGCCTCAAAGTTTGAAGAAGCCTAACATTTAGTGTTTTGGGGCAGTTTTTCTCCTTGTAAAGCCACAGTCTGTTTTTAGGACTTGTTTTCCAAACCACTAAGCTCAACGTTAACATGACGCTATTTGTTAATATTTTGACAATTAAGGTGTTGTATAAATAATATTCTTTTTTGGGGGGAGGGGCTATATTGAATTTTATATTTCCGAACAAAGCGTTGACAAATCAGATGATCAGCTTCATCCAAGAAAGAACACTAGTTAATTCTCTGCCTCCTATAGCACTGCGGTGAATGTACACGTCGTCAGGGCCCCTGAGTCCCTGTGACCAACTGCTGTCATGTGCCGGGACTCACAGATCTGGCTCAGTTAGGAGAGAGCCACTTGTACCTTAGGTAGCCATGTGGAGTTGGCCAGGAGGAGACGGGAGGTATTTCTGTAGCACACGCCTGCGTTTACCAGCCCAAGCGATGCAATGCATTTTGAATGTCACGGATCTCAAGATTCACAGACGTTAACCCGGATAAGTCAACGGTCAGGGCGGGCGAGTGGTCAGCTGCATCGGCCAGTGGCGCCTGTTAAAAGCATCGCCGAATTCTTCCAGGCACTGCCGCGTTTCCTTTGCACTGGAAATTCCTCACGTTGTGTTTTTCTCTTTTGGTGCATGGAAATGGGGCTGTTGAGATATTTTAAAGGGCTTTGCTGCCTTCTTTCTGGTTCATGGCATTTGATTTGGGCTGTGAAGACATCATTTTGCAGCTTTATGCCTTTAGCAGGTGTAGCTTGAACGACCTCCGCCGAAGTGGGCTCGACCTCTGCTGTACTGATGTGTCGTGACTTAATAAAAGGAAGGAACAAACTCTCCTGCTGTGCGTCTTACGTATCTGGGCCTTTTTTTTTTTCTGTTGGCTAAAAAAAGATAAATTTTCTCTCGTTTTCATTTTGTCTGATCATCAATTTTCTCATGTTTAACAATTTCATTATTTATGGGATTCTAAACTGTGCGAATATATGCTATTGAATAAGGTGACTTCGTTACAGGGCAGAGCTCTGGCCTGACTCCCACGAAAGGACGTAGCCCTTTGACTGTTGTGTCAGACGATCTGGCCCTAGACTGGCCATCTGTGGGCTGGATACCTCAATATCAGGTTGGGAGTTTCAGGGTTCACAGATATTTTCTGAGAGCATCTCCTGTGTGCTCAGTTCTTTACTGAGAGAACAGAAAGTTCTTTTATTAAACAATGATGACGTAAGGCAAGGGAAGCGTTGCTCTCTGAAACCCCAGGCGTCTGGGGCGTGACGCTCCGTGACGGGCTGCAGTCTGCGCCTCCGCAGCTCGGCGTCTCGTTCCGGCGAGCGTGTTTAACCCTTCGGTTGCTTTCGGCTCCTGAGCTGTGCAGTGAGGATGCTGACGTATGCTTCAGGTTGGAGCAGAACGCTGCCGAGGCAGTCATCCAGGCTCAGGGGGGAGGAGCGCCTGCCCCTCGCCTCGAAAGTCATCCTCCCACAGTGAGTGTCCCTTCCTGGCCCGAGAGGAGTTCGCCTTGATCCCGAGGGTGGTGAGAGGAGATGGACGAAACCCACTCTAGCAGGTGACCGAGAACCTTTGCTTTCCTCGCCCGACCTCTGAGCTCCCCTCCTTTCGTTTTTTTTTTTTTAAAAAACGAAAACAGGTTGGCAAAGAGAAGTTGGGACTTTGAACTTGAGTGTCGACTTCTGGGTCCCCGTGAAGGGAGCGGAGACTGCGGCGTTTCCGTGCCTGTGGGTTTGGGATGCTCAGTGCGCTTGGACTTCGTGGGACGCGATGCGCAGCTCTGCTCCGAGGGCCACGTGAGCAGACGCTCGTTCGGTGCGTGGCAGTGCTCTGATGCGAAGTGTCACGATGATCCCTGCCAAGCGCCAGTTTAATTTTAGCAACCGCAATTTCGGATGGCATCGCAGCACGATGCTTACAGTCCTGGGCTCCGTTCCTGGGGCCCACGTGTAGATGGCTGCTGAGGAGGTGGTACAGGACCAAAGCGATCCCTCTATCACGATCTAATTGGTCTCTTTTTTTTTTTTTTGGAAGGGATCTGGGGGGGCCATTTTCAAGATCACGTAGTTTTACAAAGAAATATTTTGGTTTCTTTCTTAAGCCCTTTCGAGGTGCCGGGTTTGTGGAGATGGTGCAGGTGGAGTTGGTGCTTCTGGGGAAACAGGATGGTGAGAAGCCAGCGATACGCAGCAGAATGAATGGGGAAAAACTCTCACTTCTATTCTGAGTCGACGCATGAAGCAAAAAATGAACGTCAGGGTCATTGGTGCCGGCATACTTTAAAATCACGCGTATGCTCGTAACACTTCTCTGGAAAACTTTTTGCATGGCCTCAATAATTACCCACTTATTTTTATTATCTGTGTTACTATGACTTAATGAAATGAAAGGTAGGCGGACAGAATTCTTGCATTGAAAAACACTTCTGAAAGGAAAATCCAAGAAATATCATTTCTAATCTAACTTACAGTTAAATTAGGATGTGATTTTGATTCGGGCTTGCTTTGCCCCACTCTGTTACTCACTAAAAATCATGGCATTTTAAATATAGATTACTTATATTTAAAACCCCTCAGGAAATACAGCTAGTTACACTTTCCCCCAGCCCTTCTGGTCTGTACTGGTATCACAGCTTTGAAGCCTTCATTAGTTCCCAGTGATGGTTTATAATTAAAAGAACTTCAGAGCTAATATCATCCGAGACGCTGCTTCAGATGTGCCCTAATTTCTTTCACAGCTGGAGCTCTGAGGAATGGGGGCGTCTCGGGAAGAGGTTCTGGATTCTGGTTCCTGCTCGGTTGGGACCTTGGAGCATCATTTGAAATTCTCCAGACCCCCCTTTCCTCATCTGTGGGGTAAAAGTGATTGGCCTAGAGGGGTGCCCGGCGGCGGGCGCTGACCCAGGGAACACGTGTTCCAGCACCTTCTGTGTGACGGCCGATTGCTTCAACGTAGGAATTTCGGCCTGGTATTACGAGATCTTTCACATTTTCAAGAGCATCTCCCATTTTAGATTTCTATGTGAAACTGTCCAATTTGTATAGGTTGGTAACTAATTCGCCCAAACCTTGGCAGCAGGCATCTCTCAGCTCCTGGGGCTGCCATTCCAGTGGCTCCCTGAGGGCTAGAATTTTCTAAATCATTGTCGTGCATGGCTGTGAATATGCTCCACGGATAAACACTCGCCTGACATAAAGTAAACAGCCCAGTAATTAGGCAGCTGTAGGTGGCAGCACACAGAGCTCCCTGTAAAGTTAACAGGCGGCGGTTTTTGTAATTACTTCTCAGTCTCCGAATCTCAAGGAGAAACTGAAATTGTTCTTTTTGTTCTCAGTCTGGACACGTCACAGGAACCTCTTCTGAAGGTGCTCGAACGTGCTCCTCCTGCTCGCTTTACCCGGGAGGAAGCTGGGGTCTCAGCCTGGTGGCCTTAAATGAAAGAGCTGGTGTGCAGCCAGCTGGTGACTCAGCACACTGACGTCCCACCAGGCGCCGTCCGAGTTCAGGAAGTAAGCTGTCCCAGCAAAGAGCGAGCTGTTTGAACCTCAACTTGGAGCGCCTGCCGGCCTCGATCTGGACTGGCTGCAGTGTTCAGCTCTGGGGTGGGGGCAGGGACAGGGGAGGAGGAAGGACGAAAGGACCCGGCCTCTCTCTCTCTGAGAGTTCGTAGCTGTGGGCGGTGTGGGTGAAGATTTGCAGCGGGCTGCTTCCCCGGGCCCTCGGATCTTGGAGAATGGAGGTGAACAGCCGTGGGAGCGATGGGTCTGGGGGTGTGGGCAGGCTTCCGATTTTGCGTTACAGGACGAGGCGCCGTGCTCCTTTAGTTATGTGGTGAAACTTCGCCCCGTATTTACTCTTAGGTTCGCATTTTTCATTAAGTGCTGTGTGTTGGGTTTTGACACATTCTCAAGTCAAAAAACCATGCCTGCATATGAAAACCGAGTCCTTTGTAGGCGCCCGCGAGGTGTCCTGTGGCCGGGTGTGGCAGAAGGCACGAGAAACCATCATATGAGGTGGAGAGAGACTGGCCGTTACTCTACGTTCTGTAGTCATTGCTAGTTTTCTTTTTTCTTTTTTTTTAATGTCTCCCCCGTGGCATGATTTTATTTCCGGTATACAGGGATTTTCTATAAATGCGGAGTTGAATCATGAAATTAAAGAACGCCACATCCGAGCCCGTACACGTCCTCCGTGACCTCATTTCCTACCACTCGGCCGTCCGTCACCCACACTTACCCTTTCTGTCTCTGGAACGTGCTCCGTCTGCTGTCACCTCCAGGTCTCACCACCAGCTCTTCCTTCCACCTGCGACACTCTACCCCAGCTAACCGCGAATCTGCTGTAACCTGTGATCTACTTGGCGCTCTGCTCCAAGGTCACCTTCCCCCGTGGCCTTCCCTAGTAACCCCGTGTAAACTTGACTGCCACCCCCTACCTCCCGCCTGCGTCTGCTCCTCTTCACAGTACTTAGCATAGTCCGACAGAATATATATCTCGTCGATGACCTGTTTGCTGTCTGTTTCGCCTGGTTTGGTCACTTCTCTAGATCTGTCATGTAAATTGCAACCCACATATAGGAAGCACTCAGTAAATTTTCGTTGAATGAATTCATAAATCCAATCCACCCCTTCGTTACCACAGAGAAGCAAAACACATCCAAAGAGATGTCTCGATCTGCCCCCTCCCCCCACCCGATATTTTATTTTAAAAACAACCAGGGCAGGTAATTTCATGTTTCACTTCAGTATTTTCTCTTTGCTATTATAAAATTCTGCATAGAAAAAAAAAATCTTATTGAAACATGATTCTTCAAGTCTATCTCCATTTTTGAGAGTGCTTCGTGGGGATGGAGGGACATTGGTCCCCTATTACATTTTGTGCACAAAGACATTCAATTAAATAAAAAATCCCTTCCCTTATTTCTCCTCCCCCCACACCCCCTCCCATCTGGCAATCATCAAAATGTTCTCTGTATCTGTGCGTTTGTTTCTGTTTGTTTGTTTTTTAGATTCTACATACAAGTGAGATCAAATGGTATTTGTCTTTTCTTTCTCTGTCTGACTTATTTCACTCAGCATAATTCTTTCTAACACTTTTCCGCGCCAATGGTAAGATTTTATTTTATTTCTTTTTTACGGCCGAGTAATATTCCATTGTATATGAACCAAATCTCCTTTATCCAATTGTCTATCAATGGACACTGAGGTTGCTTCCATAGCTTGGCTGTTGTAGATAATGCCGCATGAACATAGGGATGACGTCTTTTCGAATTAGTGTTTTGAATTTCGTCAGATAAATACCCGGAAATGGAATTACCAGGTCATAAGGTGGTTCTGTTTTTGATTTTGGGGGAACCTCCATACTGTTTTCCATACGGGCCGCGCCAATTTACAATCCCAGCAGCAGTGCACGGGGCTTCCTTCTCCACGCCCTCGCTGGCACTGGCTGTTCTTTGATTTGTTGATGACGGCCACTCTGACGGGTGTGAGGTGGTTTCTCATTGTGGTTTCGATTTGCATTACCCTGATGATGAGCGATGTCGAGCATCTTTTCATATGTCTGTTGGCCATCTGCATGTCCTCTTTGGAGAAATGTCTCTTCAGGTCCTCTGCCCATTTTTTAATCAGATTTTTTTTTTTTTGGTGTTAAGTTGTATGAGTTCTTTATATATTTCAGATATTGACCCCTTACCGGATGTATCATTGGTGAATACCTTCTCCTGACAATAAGTTCTTAATTCACCTTCTCCACCTTCTCTCTGGTTAAGGGGTGTCAGTGGTTTTGCTCTCGCCCTATTTTAGTCCAGCCTTTTGGGGTGGAGATGAGGGAGCATAGTGTCTGCCTGTATAGAAATGGAGAGAACAGAAGTTCTGTTGTGGGAGCCGACTACATCCCAGGAGAGCGATGCAGGTCAGTATTCAGACGAAATGTGCCCAGGTTACAGGAACCGAGACATCACCGTCCAGGATCAGTGGGAGGCTGAAGGACTAGAAAGGAAATTGGTGTGTTGAGCACGTAGGGAGAAGGCCGTCTGAAAGTGGACGCCAGGATCTCGGACCTGCATCCTCAAAGGGCAGAGACGACGCAGGGCTGTGACAGGGAGGGCACCTTCCTTCTCGGCCTTGATTCCAGCCATCAGGCGGCAATGGGTTTGTGGTAGGATTATTTTTTTATTATTTTTTATTTTTTATATTTTTATTTTTTTTTAAGCAAGGCAACCCTTGTTTGACCTCACAGATTGCAAGGCTTACAATCCCTTATTATTATTATTATTTTTTAATGCCTATAGCACCTAGTCTTCCTAGGTGGTCTCCCATCCAAGTACTAACCAGGCCCGACCCTGCTTAGCTTCCGAGATCAGACGGGATCGGGTTTGTTCAGGGTGGCATGGCCGTAGAGTGTGGTAGGATTTTGAGTGCAGCTTTTTCTGTGGTGAATCTGATCTATTTTAGACAAAGAACATTATAATAGTGGTAGAAAAAAAATTCCAGAAATCACCTGTCTTATCTATCAGGAAGAAAATCAGAAGCAGAATGGCGAAGTGACCCCAAGCCACCTCGTTCCACGTGTGAGGCCGCTGCCAGGAGCTGGGGCACACAGATGGAATGGGCGTGTCTGGCCACCGTGAGACTTGCACAGTGAAATGGACAGGTCCTTCTCCCCACACTGTGCACCCGGCCATCTCGGGGTGGGCTTTGTTGTGGTCACTGTCCAGTGACCCCAAACCAGGGGCTGAGCCTGACTCTGGAGAAAAAAGAGCATGGGCAGTGAAGGGGGAGAGAGAGAGAGAGAGCGCGCGCGCGCGCATGTGTGTGCACGTGTGTGTGTGCGTGCGTGTGTGTTGGGGTGGGGTGGGGGTCAAGCCGTCAATCACCTGCAATTCTTATAACTTGGAGAAAAACCAAGAAAGCAAGAGAAGAAATTATAATATCTACTTTTGTTGTATTCAAGACTAAAGAGAATGCACGCAGAAAATCATGCAGACTTTCATTTTCTCTTTCTGTAACGTGTGCGCGTGTGTGTAAAAACACTCACACACACACACACACACACACACGCACACACACACACACACACGGTGCCCATATCGCAGGAAACCTCAGGACCGCATTTCTTTTGCTCCTTTGAAAACATCTTGTGTGTCTGGGTGCGTGTTTATGTGACGTGGGGGTGGGGGCGACAAAACAATGTGGTCTGTGGGGGCCTCTGGGGAGAATCTCTGAATTCCCTGGGAGAGGAAGTTCCCTAAGAAAGCAGGAGCCGCTCACATTCCCACCGAACAACAAAGCGCGCTGAGCCGAGATAAAAGGGGGGGGGTGGGGGGGCTGGGAGGGATAAAGAAACAAAACACCTCGCCCTGGCCTGGGGAAGCAGGTGCACCCATGACAAACAATATCATTTCTTCTATTATTTGTAGAGTTTAGGAACCAAACAGAACAAAACAATGCTCGCTCCTCCCGTCTGGGGCAGGGGCCTCTGGGGTGTTCCGTGCCACAAGGTAGAAAGGATGGGTTCTCAGCACACGCGAGAGCCAAGAAAGCGACTCGAAACGCACAAACACAAGGACGAGGGCAGACTATCAGACGCTGAGGGACACTGGGCCAAAGCAGGGGAGGCGAGGCAGGAACGTCGTCTTCCGGTGCGATGGTGGCCAGATGCCCCCCCCCCGCCACCAGAGCTGATGACATACAAGGGACCCTTTTTCACCCCAATACGTCCGGGGCTGCCTGCAGCTTTACCACCGTCCCCCAACCCCGAGCGTTTCTGTGTGTGTTTGCACGGCTGTGGCCGTGTGTCGGTGATGCACGTGGCACACTGGGCAGCGAGGACCGCAGGTCGTTGGAGGTGGGCGCATCCGAGGCTCGGGTCCCTGAGCTCCTTCTGAAGCCTGGTGGGCGGACGGGCTCCGGGTTATGCGTCCACTTTATGACGTTCTCACGTTAAAATTCTAACAAGTCCGTGTAATGATGGACTCTTACAGGTTTCTCCATTATTACTTCATTACATTTTCCCTCTTCTAGGCAGTTTCATATTTCATAATCGTAGCTTTTATGTAATTCAACCTCAAGTTGGAATCACCTTCTTCATTAGGTGTGTTTACGTGATTGGACAAAAGGCTCACCTTAGTTTATTTCTAGTAAGTCAGGCCCGCTTGTGAAGGTTGAATTCTGCCTCTCCGACTGAAGGGAGGAAATTGGAAGAATGTTCTGCCAAAAGGCACTGGCCGTTTTACAGCCATCGTATACACAAGGCTTGCAGTCTGCCTGACACTTGCCACACGTGACTGCTGCCGTCGGCCCTGCAGGTGACTTACACTGATTAGTAGATGTGTGCCACTGTCGCAGCGAAGAGGAAGGACTTTCACATGGTGAAGGTCGAGGACCCTCTCTTAGGCACCACACCTGCTGAGAAGATAGAATTTGTGGAAAATGTCAGGGTCCACCTGGAATTTCCACAGTTCAGGCCTGTATGGCTAGTGAAGGTTTGGGGGCCGACGGAGGACGTAGTTTGACATTTAAATTTGCCTATTTTTGATCGCTTATTTCACGGAAATGTGAACTTTGGAAAGGTACACGTTGTGATTCTGACTGTATAGAAAACCAGTCGGGGGTGGCAGAATCATAAGTTTAGGGGAACCTATTCTGTTCTGGATAAAAATAGTCCCACCCACTCTATTGCTTTGCAAGGAAAACATCAATTAGATGGAACAATGCTCCCCGCGGACGCAGATGCCCGCCGTCCCTGGCCACCCCCTCTGAGTTTGGTTTGGACGGTGTCGTGTCTTCTCTTAGGAGGAAATCATCAACAACAAGAGGAAATCCTGGACTAGTATTGAATGGTCCTTATTTTAAAGGTACTTCCCTTCTTGTGGGGATTGAATGTAATCAGAACAACACTAAATGTCTGAATTATTTTACAAGGTTTGACTTTCAGCCCCCATTTTTTTTTTTTTTTTAAAGATCGACTTATTGTGCCGAAGATATAGTCAATTGTTGGGTTAGAGGACATTCTTCTCTGCCGCATGAACCTCGCCCAGGTGGGGCGGGGGGTAACTGACCGCCACAGGAAGCAGGGGGCCCGTGGAGACACCGAGTCTTCCAGAGCACACGATGACTAATAAATGCTAAAATTACTCTGGAAAGAGCCCCGTGGTCACAAACACTTGCCGCTTTCTGAGTGGAGTTGACCTGTCTCTAAGCTGGGGGACCCGGAAAGCTGCCTGGGACCGTCCGCCAGGCAGTTTGCTCGGCCAGAGGATGGATGGGCGGGATTACTTGGAAGACCCGGGGTGGGAAAAAAATGTCAGCCTGGCTTTTCTGCTTCTGGAAGTCGCTGATGGTTGTTACCTGTGGGCAAGGAGCTGCTGAGAAGCAGCAGCACACAGTCTGACCTCCAAATCCCGTTTGTCCCCCGGTTCATGAAGCTGATAGCGGTAAATGAGCGATGCCTGATGCGATGCTCTCGGGCTGGCCACCCTGAGATGCTTCTCAAACTCTCCTGGCGAAGTGCTCCCAGCAACTGGATGGGCGAGGGGTATATTGCTCCCATGAGAAGGGGGCGCAGGCACACCTGGAGGCCCAGGGACTCAGCTCGTGGCAGCCAGGTGCAAGCACAAACGGTCGCTGAGTTCTTGTATCTCGCCCTAAAGACTCGTGAGACTCTCGCGCTCTGTGCCATTTATGCATCCCTGTCGGCTTCCACGTAAGCCCAGCAGAACTTCCCGCGCCCATGGGAGTGCTCTGCATTTTCGCCGTCTGATACAGCAGCCATACAAATGGCTACTGAGCACTGGA